CAGCAGCAGCAGCTGCTGCTGCTGCTGCTGCTGCAGCGTCGAGCTAGGGTTGTTGTCTTTGCCGTTTTATTTGGAGACGCACTGGGGGCTCCCTGTCTCTCAGCTCGGGCAAACAAACAAACAAATATATAAATGAATAAAGAAGCAAATAAATAAATAAAAACAAATAAATAAATAAATAAATGAACATTATATAGCTCAATTGTTTAGTTTAGGTAGATGGGAAAGGCAGAGTCTCGAAGCAGCCAAGGCAGTCTTGTAGCAGCAGCAACCCACGCGACCCTGCTGCTGCTGCTGCTGCTGCTGCTACTTCTCCTGATTTGCTGCTGGTGTAACTCGCTGCAGCAGGCAGCTACGCAGCAGCTGCCGCTTCTGGTACTGCCGCAGCTGATCTCCCGCTGCTGCCGCTCCGTGCAATTGTGTTGCTGCTGCTGCTGGTGCTGCTGCAGTTGCAGCTGTTCCGCTGTTGCTCTTGTTGAAGCAGCAGCAGCGCTGCTGTAGCTGCTGCTGCTGCGTATGCATCTGCTGCTGCTGGAGCCGTCAGCGGCTTTCGGCTACATTCACAGCTGCTGCTGCTGCTGCTGCTGCTGCGCGTCAGCAGCTGCTGCAGCTGCTGCCTCTCAGCTGTTGCTGCTGCTGCCCATCGTGCTGCTGTTTATACTGCTACTGTTGCTGCCGCTGCTGCCTCGGTTGCTGCTGCTGCTGCTGCTGCCGCTGGTATTCGTGTTGCTGCTGCATGTGCTGCTGCTGTTGCTGCTGCTGCTGCTGCTATCACTCCGCAGGCCTCCGTGTCGCCGTTTCTCTTTGTGTCTTTTCTCCTGCGCACTGCTGCTAGCCTCTGCACCGAAACCCTAAACCCTAAACCCTAGACCCTAAAGCCTAAAGCCTAAACCCTGTTTCTCTCCCGCTGCTGCCGCCTGCGGCTCGTCTTTTGCGAAATATCTATTTAACTCAATTAATTTGAATTAATTCAATCAATTAAATTTATTAAATGCAAATTAAATTGAATTAAATTAATTAAGCTTCTTAGAATTAAATTCATACCTCCCTCTATTGCTGGCTGCGGCCTAATAAATAAATAATTAAATAAATTGGTAAATTAAATCTATAAATTAATTCTACTTTATAAATTATAAATCATAAATTATAATAAATAAAAGAGAGACGAAGACACAAAAAGAGACAGAAGGAGACATTGCAGGAGACCCACGAGCGCAAACAGCTCCTGCTGCTGCTGCTGCTGCTGCTGCTGCTGCTGCGGCTGCTTGAAGCAGCTCTTGTTACTGCCGCTTCTGCAGCTGCAGCAGTTACTTCGAGCAGCAGAAGCAGCAACGTAAAGTGCCGTAGCGGCAGCAAGAGCAGCAACTGCAGCGGCAACAGCAGCTGCTGCAGCAGCAACTGCCGCTGCAGCAGCGGCAGCTACTCAAGCAGCACCAGAAGCAACTACAGCAGCAGCAGGAGCAGCAGCAAGAGATGCATAGAGGCAGGCCAGCGCAAGAAGGGAAAAAAACAGCAGCAGCAGTTGCTGCTGCATATGGTGCGGTGGCCGCGCAGGAGGCTGCTGCTGCTGCAGCTGCTGCAGCGGCTGCAGCTGCCGCTGCAGATCCAAATGGTCAATGAAAACTAGGACAGCAGCAGCAACTGCTGCTGCTGGCAGCTGTTGCTGCGGCATAAGGAACTGCTGTTCCTGCTGCTGCTGCTGCTGCTGCAAATGGTCAAGGGCAGCTAGTACAGCAGCAGCAACTGCTGCTGCTGCAGCCAATGAAGGAAAACGCTTCGTCAGTGAGAACCCCACATGCTGTTGCTGCTGCTGCTGCTGTTGCTGCTGCTGCTGCTGTTGCTGCTGCTGCGAGCCCAACCCTGTACGGTTCTCTGCACAGCAGCTGCGAGGGCCAGCACCTGTTGGCAGGCTGTCGCGGCAGCAGCAACTGCTGCAGTCACAAACGCAGCAGCAGCAGTACACGCAGCAGCAACAGCAGCAGCAGCAGCAGTGAGGACGGTATCCGTTTGGTCCCCGTTGCTGCCTTGGCAGCCGTCGCCGCTGCTGCACCTGCTGCTGCACCTGCTGCTGCACCTGCTGCTGCTGCAGCCGACCCTACACCACGACTCTCGCTGCCCTGCTACCGCTACCGCTGCCGCTGCTGCTGCTGCTGCTGCTGCTGCTGCAGCTGGGCTATGAGGGCCTGCAGCAGCCGCTGCAGGTTGTGCAGCCCAAAGAGATAGCCCTCGTCTCTGGGCCGTCGAGACAGCAGAGACACATGGGCGAAGTCCACCATGTAAACGGAGACAGAAGCAACTACTGCGTCTTCTGCGCAGCTGCTGCAGCACCACTCCCCGCTGCTGCTGCTGCTGCTGCTGCTGAAGGGGCAGCAGCGCGCAGCATCCGGGGGCGGGGGAGGGTCTGCGTCGTAGACCAGCAGCAAAGAAGAGCCGTGGAAGGCGAGGAGGGACTGGGAGCTGAAGAAGGAAAGCACCGGCAGCAGCTGCTGCTGGCACTGCTGCAGCAGCCGCAGCGTCAATTTGCTGCTGCTGTTCACTCCGAAGAAACTTTCAAACAAAGACAAGAAAGCCCCGTCGCTCTTCAGCGCATGCGCAGCAGCAGGCGCGAGCAGCACGGAGCCCGGCGGCGGGAAACGGGCTGCGTCGCTCCCTGCTGCTGCTGCTGCTGCTGCTGCTGCGGGGTCTGCTGCTGCTGCTGCTGCGCGATCTCCTGCGGCAGCGGCGGCAGCAGCACACTCGCCGGAGGAAGCAGACACTTGGGACCTCTCCTTCAAGGCATCTGCTGCAGCAGGAGCTGCAGCAGGAGCTGCAGCAGGAGCTGCAGCAAGAGCTGCAGCAGGAGCTGCAGCAGGAGCTACAGCAAGCGCTGCACTAGGAGCTGCCGCAGCAGCTGCAGCAGGAGCTGCAGCAGCAGCTGCAGGAGCTGCAGCAGCAGCGGCCGCAGGAGGGGCTGCTCTCGGCCTTGTCTTACAGGGCGCCGCTACGCCGCAAACGGCAAAGCCATGAGTTGCGAAAGACCTGCAGCAGCAGCAGCAGCAGCAGCAGCAGCAGCAGCAGCAGCAGCAGCAGCAGCAGCAGCAGCAGCAGCAACAGCAGCAGGAACTAACCATCACTATCTCCTCAAGAAGCGGCAGCAACACCCCCAGAAGAAGACCCCTTTATAGTGCCCCCCGCACCCGCGATGAATATGTGGCGCAGCGGCGTGCTGCTGCTGCTGCTGCTGCTGCTGCTGCTGCTGCTGCTGCTGCTGCTGCTGGTGAGGAGGGCGCAGGTGAAGACACGCCGCAGCTGTTTTCTTCTGAGGAAAGCGAAGAGTCTGAAGAAGATGAGGAAGGTTTGTTTCATTTTTAATTTAATTTAATTTGATTTAATTAATTTAATTAATTTAATTTAATTATTTTAACTCAATTTGAATGCAATAAACAATTCTGCTTAGACAGCCAGGTGTCTGTACACCTGGAAATACCAACGAGCTAGCTGCCTTCCCCTCCTACTGGTTTTGTTTTGTTCTTATTTTGCTGCTGCTGCTGCTGTTTCTGCTGCTGCTGCTGCTGTTGTTGCTGCTGTTGCTGTTGCTGCTGCTGCTGCTGCAGTCGTGGGGTTGGCGGAGTTAGACATCAGGTGATCTGCCCTTTGCATCTTCCTGCAGC